ATTTAGTGCATTTGAAAGCACAAGCATCTGCTGAGCTCTGAATGCTGATTTTCCCTCTGAAACAGCTTCATTGTTTTCCTCCGATTACATAAGAGGCACCCCTTGGGAGTGAAGAAGTCAGAGGAGGGGGGGGGGGGCCCTTTTCATCTCTGCCAGCAGGGGCTCGGGGTGTGTCTGAGGAACTTAAATGAGCAGGAATGGCCTGTCCTGCCCTGCCCACGCGTGCATACGTGCGTGCAGAGGGGGGAGGAGTGAACACAGCCCAGAGCCCCTTGGAGAACAGTGAACTGTGATGGCCCAGAAGCTCCTGCTGCTCTCATCCAGGTCCAACTCCAGCTGCAGGCTTGGCTTTCCCAACCTCCATGCTCACAACCTCTGGCCTCAAGCCCCCAAACAAGGGGCTACCTCAAGAACCTTATCCTCTTGGCCCTAATGGGGAGCCCAGGCTCAGAGAGGTGAGGGAACTTACCCCAGGACACACAGCACAGGTGTGTGAAATCAGGTCCGTGTTCTTTGACCACCTGAGCCTTCCTGGAAGAGGGGGCTGAGGTGGGGGAATGGATGAGATGGCCCCTCCTTATCCTCAACTGCTCAGAGGTCTGGGACCTCGTGTTCCAGCTTTGGCCAAGAAGATGCCAGTCAAGCTGGCGAGGCTACTGGTAGGTGTGGGTTTTCAAGGCAAGGAAAACCTGTTTGCCTCTTTCTTGCTTTCTTCCTAAAGGCACTAAGGAATTCAGTGCAAGGAGCGCCAGTGGGGAGCCTCCAACCCAGGCCACTGGGAGGCATCTTAGCACCCCCTGGCCTGCCCGCCCGCCCCCCACCCCCCCTGCCCTAGACTTTCAAGGGAGAAAGAGAGAGGGGGGGGGGCAGAGGGACCACAGGATCCTGTAGCCACAGCGCAGAGCTGGGCTTTGCCTCCCCTCCCGTCTGTGTTTGCTGACACGCAGTGGTCCGGGAAACAGCCCCACTGCGATGCCTGCAGACTGGGGTCATTCCGCCTCCTTAGGGAGGTCTCTGCTCCCACCTGCAAAGTGGGACCAATTCCACCCCCCACCCGCCTCCCTGTGCAGGCTCTGCAAATACAGTGCTCACTAGGTCAATATCCTCCCTCTTCAGCCTTACCCCACCCCGGGAGGAGGGGAAGGAAAGAGAATGGGTTTATAAAGACAGAGCTGGCTCAGTTCCCACCTGATTCCCCCTCCCCCTATAAGGTGAGCAGTGTCCCTTTCATTAGGGTTCAAAGGCGAAGGGACTGGCTCAGGGCCACATGCAAGGGCCACACCCCACAGGAACTTGGGTGTCTGCCTCTCACTTTTCTCCCCTTACAAACAGAACCAAAGGTATTGGGGCACAAAACCTAGGCCAGAGGGCGCGTTGCTTGCCTAGGTTTTGCAAGAGGTGGCTGTCGGGTTTCTGAGGCCTGGGGACACGCCTTCCAGGGGTGCCCAGGGCCCACCACCCACATCCCCCTGGGTGTTACATCCGGACTGCCGAGCCCACGTGCTGCCTCCCTGACCCACCCCAAGTTGGCGACCACGAATTCAGCAGAGCCTCATGTGCCTTTGTGTCCCCAAAATGCCTTGTCCGGGAGGAAGGCCAACATCCTCCATGCCTCTCTAAACGGCCTTGGCCTGCAGTTCCTCACCCTTCTCAAAACACCCTCCCAGCCACTGCTGCTTTCCAACGAATACACCCCCAGGTGGGCAGGGCTGGCATTACTCTTCTTGTTTTATAATAAAGGAACCCAGAGAAGCTGCGCGATTAGATTGAGGCTCCTCCACATTCCTGACCTCAACTAAGACCCACGCTCCCCAGGGTCCAGTTGGGAACTCTAGGAGGTGGGAGTAGGGCCACAGGGCAGGGGGCAGGGCTTGAAAAGTCCAGACTTCCAAGAGGCGTCACATGCAGCAGGCGGTTTCCGCTCTCTGTGCCTCAGTCTCCTCCTCTCTAAAATGGGAGTGAGGACACTGGGTCTGGCATCTCTAAACTCTCCCTTCGCTTATTCTCACAGTGCTTCGGGGCAAGCTGGGAAGCAGCTGGGGAACAACTCCACAAGCTACCCCACCCCCAACCCACCCCTGGGGCAGCTTAAGTCCAAAGGAGAGAAGGCATCTTGAACCAAAGCCATGAGGGGGCTGCAGAAGCTCTCTGTGCCAGGAGTTTCTAGAAGGTGCCAAATGAACTTGAATCTTCAACTCCGGACCTTCAGAGAGCAAGCTGGGCAAGGAAAACACAGGTCTGGAAAAAACCCACGATAGGGACGCGGAACACTGCGTTCTCCTGGCTCATCCACTAACCAGCCTTGTGGCCTTGACCCCTCCCCTCCCTCCGGGTACCTCAGTCTCCCTTCTGCCTGATGTGACCTTTCAGGCCCTCCAGCTCAGAGAGTGTTGGAAACAGCTTTCCAGTTCTCTCCCTCCAGGCACAGAAAGGAAGAGACACTTTTCAACAAGTTGGGCAACATGTTGCGCAGGAGTTAGATTTTGCAGAGGCACCCTGACCAAGGGCAGAGCCACTGCCCCAGGAGCTGCCAGCCACCCTGAAGGCTCAGGCCACCTGGGCCATGAGAGGCCCAAGACCACTGAGGTCCAGGACGCCAGCGGGGGTGATGGCAAGACCTCTGAGGTCTGTTAGGGGGATCTAGAACTCTGCATTTCCTCTCCTGAGACTCCCCTCACCCCCTGCAGTATAGAACCTCCCACAGCAGAGGGAGCACGCATGTGCCATCTCCCTGCTGATGCCTAGGGAGGGGGCGCCCTCCTGACCCTGCAAGGTGGGGGTGGGCAAAACAGCCATGCATGCTGGTTTTGATGGCTGGTTTGAAGTGAGGCAGCACTGGATTCAGATCTTGACTCTGCCACGTAACTGAGCGAGTAACTTCATATCCTGGCATCTCCGTTTTCTCCCCTCTCAGATGGGGACATGACGCCTTGTGGGATGAGATAATGCGATGTCGAGTGCTCAGCGTGAAATGCAGATGCTGCTGTAGCTCTGCGGACAGGCTGCAGCTGTCTGGAAAGGTCAGGGGGCCTGGGAGAGCTGGAGGGGGTAGTGCGGGGGAAGGACATTGCTGATGTCTACAAGGGTTTCTGAGGAACAGAGAGGCCCTGAGACCTAGGTGTCCTTGTGAGGCCTCTGTACAGTGATTCATGTGTTGGCTCACGGACACGCCTTCGGGCATGTGGGGAGCTAGTGCCTGGTGCGGACGTGGGTGGATATGTCACCTGTCACCTCTGCTGATGCCACCCTATGCAGATGCTAGGTGCCTGTCAGCACAGGACTATGGGACCACCTCTGGAGGTCCTCATGCATCGGAGCGGAAAAAGCCTTTAGGTTTGGCTCCGTCCTCTCATTTTACAGATGGAAAAACTGAGGCCTACACAGGAGGTCCCGAGGGCGAAACCTGCAGAGGGTCCCAGACATCCTTATTCCCCACCCTTCCATCCGGCACTGTTCTCCAGGGACCATCCCACCCACTGGGACACCTACCTACGGCATCTGGCTCTGGCTCGGTGCCCAGGTACCGCCCTTGGGCCCGTGAATCCACCAGCTGGAACCTCTTAGATTCAAGGTTCTCCAGCACCTGCTCGTAGGTCTTGAGCAGGGAGCGGTCAAGTGTGGCTTTGAAGACTGCGGGCTCTGGGCGGGAGGGCTCGGATGTCACCGGGTGGCCCTCCTTCAGCCAGTTCCGGAAGCCACCATTGAGCACCGACACCGTGCGGTGGCCAAACACACGGAACATCCACCAAACCCGAGGCGCATAGTAGCTGCCCAGGTGGTCACCGTCGTAGACCACCACGTGTGTGTCATTGCTGATGCCCAGGTGGCCCACGTAGTCGGCGAAGCCCGCCTCGCTGGGCAGCATCATCTCGTAGGGTGACGACTTGTCCTTGCACTCCTCTATGTCAAAGAAGGAGGCGCCGGGCACATGGCACTCCAGGTACTCCTTGCGGGCGTCCCGGGTGCCAGGCGAGTACCAGGACCCGTCCAGCACCCTCAGGCTAGGCCCCAGCTTTCCAGCCCGGATGGACTCTGCCAGCCACCTGGTGGAGACCAGCGCCCGGTAGAGCACCTGCTGAACCATGGTTTCCGCTCTGCGCTTCACCTGGCGCGGGTGGGAACCGGGAAAGAGACGGGCGTGAGGACCCTGTGTTCAGCGCGGTGGGGCCTGGGAGGAGCTTTTTCCCCTCCGAACCCTCCAGGGTGGGGTGTTTACAGCCACCCGGGGGCTGGGGCGTGCAGTGGGACCGGTCGGCAGATTCCCCAAGGAGAGCCTCCCCGCCCCGGGGTCCCCTTTACGAAAGGGGGTAGGGCAAGAGCTTCGGAGGGCTGGGGGTTGCGGGGGTGGGGTGGGGGGAGCTGGCCCTAGAAGCTACAATACTTGCCCTCAGGACGCTGCCGAGAAGAAGGGTGAGAAGATGCCCAGGATGGGGGAAGATGGCATCGTGGGCTGAGAGCCCCCTTTCCAGTGAGGGCAGGGGCGTGCGCTCGTGGGGGAGGGTTCGCCGGAGCCCCGCACTCTCCCCGCCCCCCTAACCCGCCGCGCCTCGGGTCTCAAAACCCTTCCTGCGGTTTCTGGGCAGCCGGGGCTAGCCCGCCCCCAGGATGCCCGAGTCCAGCCCCGGTCCGGTGCCCTCTGCCCCGTTGGGTTAGGGGTTCCGGGGGCATCGCGCCCGCCCCCGCCACGAGGACCTAACCGGCGGCTCGATCCCGAGCGGCCCGAGCGCAGGTCGCCGCCCTCACCCGCCGCACTTACGCGCCCTCGCCGCCGCCCTGGCTCCCGCCCCAGCCCGGGGAGAAGTTCGCGGCTCAAACCCCGGGCCGGCACCTCCCAGCCGGCCTGCGCCATCGCGCCGCCGCGCACGGGGGGGACGCGCGCCACTCGCTCCGGCCCCGCGAGGCCTGCCGCCCAGCGGCGCCCGCCCTGCCCGCCACCCCGCGCGCAGCGGCTCTCAGATCCCCCCGAAACCCGCTGGGCACGCCGGGTGGCATCGGGGTGACGCGGGGTGAGACTCGGCGGCGCGGGCGTCCCCCGGGCCCAGGCGATGGAAGGCGCGGGCATAGGCGGCTCCGAGTGGCCAGGGCGGTGGGCAGTGCCCAGTCTCCTCCCTCTGGCTGGCTGCAGGTTGGTGTCGGGAGGAGGGGACAGCTGCGGGCGCGGGGAGGGGGCACCCTGCGGCGGGGGCTATGGCCGAGCCGGGAACCCAAGAGCCCGAAACCCGGGTAACTTCTGCGATGTCGCGTCTGATTTCTAGGGGGAGGCCGATCTTTGGGGTGCACCCGGCGGGGGTCCCTGCGGGGCCTGAGCGGAGGAGGGGCTGCAGTCTGGGAGGGAAGGCGCGCTCGTGGGTTTGCCCTAATAATGGTTGGCTGTCCGCAGCAGCTTGGGGCGCCCTGCAGGGTGGGGACGGAGTGAGTGGCCCTGGGGGCGGGGGACACCTGGTGCCACGAAGCGACCGGAGGGAGGGAGGAGGGACTAATAAAGCCTGACAGATAAGCTAGGGAGAGGCCAACCGACCCGGAGGCGGCAGGAGGAGAAACTAGCCAGGAACTTGAGGGCGTGAAATGAAAGTAACTTCCATCAGGGCCCGTGTAGTGAGGAACTTTGGGGAGGGGGGGGAGGGGTTACTTACTTAGTTCCCACAACAGCCCTGCTGCGAAGGCCAGAACTTATTTAAAGAGCCCGGAGAGAAGCTGGGCTGGCTGCCCCGGGGCACAGCGTTGAGGCCAGGCTGTGTCAGATCCGGAGCCCACGTGGCACCGGCTGCCTTTGCTTACCTGGCCAATCCCCAGGCCTTATACTTTCAAATGTACCAGTAATTGCCTTCGTTTTTCCATTTAATTGTAAGCTTATATACTTTAATTTTTAACAACCAGTTGGCATAATTTCTGAAAACCTAACACTGGTGGGGCCTCGCTGCCCTACTCAGCTTTTGCATATGCGGTTACATATACCTGGAATGCTTTTCTCATCCCATTTAAAAAGTTGGTTTTATTCTGAAATAACTATACTCTCTCAGGAAGTTGCAAAAGCCGTACTTTCATGAGCATTTGCCCAGTGGATCCTCTGAACTTTGTGCTTTGAGTTGGGGTCCCAGGAAGGACAAGGCTGGAGAAGTCCTTGAATGCCAGTCTGATGGGAGCCCTGCTCTTCCAGGGCCCACCCAATGGCGGCCTGGGGCTCACACTCCCCCTAGTGCGGTTGTTTATGCTCCTGCGATGGGCCTGGGGCTGAACTGTACGTCCTGGAGCCCTGCACTCCCAGAGCACCCCCAACTACAAGCTCGAAGGAACCTGATCCCGCCCTTCAGTGACACAGGCAGCCTGCTCTCCCAGACCTACCTCCCAGTTTGTTTTTTAAGAACTGCCAAGCCAGCAAGCAGGGTGGGGCGGGCCTGAAGTCCCACCCAATCCTGAAATTCTGATTCTAGATTTGTGGCTGTCTGTTCAAAGGCCACCTATGAGCCCAGCCTGCACGGCTCCGTGGTTGAGCATCGCCCTATGAACCAGGACGTCAGGATTCGATTCCCCGTCAGGGCACATTTTCAGGTTTCGGGCTCAATCCCCAGTCGGAGGCATGCAGAAGGCAGTTAATCAGTGATTCTCTGTCATCATTGATGTTTCCATCTCTCTCTCCTCTCCCTTCCTCTCTGAAATTAATAAAAATATATATTCTTAAAAAGGCCACCTATGAGAGTAACTTTGAAAAAAGAAATGGTATTTTTATTAAGCTGTTTTGAATAATTATTAATGCCAGCCATATACAGTGCATTGACACTGCCTTCTACGTTCATTATTTATTCTTTGCTAAAAGAGGTGAGGTTTGGAAAGCCCTTATAGGACATGGCAACAGGCCAGGGAGCCTAACAAGCCCACCTTCACATCCAGCCATGGGCAAACTACGGCCCGCAGGCCGGATCCGGCCCCTTTGAAATGAATAAAACTAAAAAAAAAAAAAAAAAGACCGTACCCTTTTATGTAATGATGTGTACTTTGAATTTATTAGTTCACACAAACACTCCATCCATGCTTTTGTTCCGGCCCTCCGGTCCAGTTTAAGAACCCATTGTGGCCCTCGAGTCAAAAAGTTTGCCCACCCCTGAATAACCTGTTAAGCTGCAGAGTGAACTTTACACTGGCTTTCAGGTGAGAGTGGGGGATCTGACTCCCAACCCATGGTTCTTTTCTTTCTAAATGTGTCCTTGAAGCAAAGAGCCCCAAGAATGGTGGGGGCAGGGGCTGTTGTGGTTCAAGAAGAAGGGGCCCAAAGCAAACCTCAACATCATCTAGCTGTGTAAACCCCCGATTCTGGGATGACCCCTTAACCAAAGCCCTCTGAAAAGGTCAAATCAGTTTGGATTTCCCCCTCCTCCAGGAAGCCTTCCCACCCCTTCTACTCCAACTGCAGGCGGAGCCAGTGGCCCCTCTGTGCTCCCACTGAACTTCATTCAGCCTTTCCTTAATTATACTGCATCTCAAGCAGGCCTATGGCCTGCCTTCACCTCCAGGCTCTGGCAAAGTCAAGAGTTTCTTTGTATCCAGCTCAGGGCCTGTGGGCAAAGTGGTGCCTAAAAGTCAGCCTGCAGCGAGGCTGTGGGTGGGGGGGCTGGGTATATGGTAGCACACTGTATGCTCATTAGGCCTGGGCGTCATTGGCCTACGACTGGGGAAGAAGTCCAGCCGCAGGAGTTAAAATCTGGCTTCACCTCCTGAGGCTGCCCCTGACCTGCTGCAGTGCTTAGGCTGTAGCCTGGCCCAAAGCGCCCTCCTGCGAACTCTTTTTCTCTACCCGTCCTCTTCCCTGTGGTGGCAGGGCTGCCTGGTGTGGGTGTAAAGCTTGCGCCCTGCACAGGGAGTGCATGGCTGAGGGGCTTGACCTGGAGGCCTTGCAGAAGGGCCGCCTTTCTCTGAGCTGCACAAAGGCCTCTGGTGAGCTAGGGGCTGCGTGCACAGGGGCTGCACACAGTGGGGGCATCTCGGCTTTGGAAGACTGTGGGCTGCTATGACAGTGGGCCGCTGCTGGCTCCCAGGGAAGTGGAGGGGAGAGGGAGGGAGGTGCTAAGTCGCTGTTGCTGCTACAAGAAGACCCAGAGAGAAAGCTCAGGCTCACGGGGCAAAATCTGACTGTGCTGGACTCGGGGAGCCTGCTCCGTACGTGTCAGTGAGGCCTGGATTCCGGGGTCAGACTGCCCAGTGCACAGCCTGGTCACTGCTTCTCAAGTTAGTGCCCTTCTCGGACCTGAGTGGCCCCCGCTGTGATACAGTGAGAATAATACCAAGCCTCTTGCGGGCGCTCACAGCCAATCATCTAGAGCAGGGTGGGGAACACCGCCCTGCGGGCCCTTATAAGGCCCGATTTCGGTCTGGCCCTGCCAAGGCGTTAGGGGCGAGTTACTTAAATGTTTGGCCACTATAGTAGGCTGATCTTTAAGGTGATAACTTTGTATGGCCCTCGAATGATGTTATAAATATCCAAATGGGTCTTGGCAGAAAAAAAGGTTCCCCACCCCTGATCTAGAGAGCCTACCGGTGACCTGCCTTGTTCTAAGGCAGTGGTTCTCAACCTCCTGGCCCTTTAAATACAGTTCCTCATGTTGTGATCAACCATAAAATTATTTTCGTTGCTACTTCATCACTGTCATGTTGCTCCTGTGATGAATCGTCATGTAAATATCTGATATGCAGGATGGTCTTAGGCGACCCCTGGGAAAGGGTCGTTCAACCGCCAAAGGGGTCGCGACCCACAGGTTGTTTCTCAACCTTGGCTGCACATTAGAATCACCTGGGAATCTTTTCAAAATCCTGATTTCTGGGCCTCATCCTCCGGAAATTCTGTTTCTTTGTTACTCATGTTGTGGCCCCACCCCATAACAAAGAAACAGAATTTCTGCAGGATGAGGCCCAGAAATCAGGATTTTAAAAAGATTCCCAGGTGATTCTAATGTGCAGCCAAGGCTGAGAACCACTGCTCCAAGGTGTTGTGAGGGTGAAATGGTCCACACAGCCGGACCCGTGGGTTCCAACTACTCTTCCTATTAGGCTGCTTGTGTAAATGCTGAATGAATGAGTTTCACCGGGGACCTTCCTTGCTGGGTGCATCTTCGGGAGGGCCTAAGGCTTTTGCCCCTGCCTGGGCCCTCTCCCAATGGGCCCTCCCGCCAACCCCCCACCCCACCCCACGCAGCAAGCAGCAGTGAGGGGCCCTCCTGGCCCTTTCTAGGGGTCGTGGTCGTCACTGTGCTGGTTATACAGTATATCCTGGCTGGGGAGGGGAAGGAAAGCCGCGGTGACCCGAGTCTGCACCTGGGTTCACCGCAGACGGTTTTCTGAGGTCCCTGGACTCTGCCCTCCGCCGGCTCCACCTCCCCTCCTGGCCCAGCCCCAGCTCCAGCCCCTGCCCCAGGCCCAGCCTCAGAGGCACGGGGCGTTTCCTGCCCTGGGGCCGGCCCTTCCTAGATTCCCTCCTGACTTCCTCTGTGTTTCCCAGGCCCGCAGCCCTAGTGTCTCAGCCGCCGCCGCCATGGCCTCACAGCAGCTCTTCCGCGCGCTGGTGTCGGCGCAGTGGGTGGCGGAGGCGCTGCGGGCCGTGCGCGCCGGGCAGCCCCCGCAGGTGCAGCCGCTGCAGCTGCTCGACGCCTCCTGGTACCTGCCCAAGCTGGGCCGCGACGCGCGCCGCGAGTTCGAGGAGCGGCACATCCCGGGGGCGGCCTTTTTTGACATCGACCAGTGCAGCGACCGCACCTCGCCCTACGACCACATGCTGCCCAGCGCCGCACACTTCGCGGAGTACGTGGGCCACCTGGGCGTGGGCGCCGACACCCACGTGGTGGTTTACGACGCCAGCGACCAGGGCCTGTACTCGGCGCCGCGCGTCTGGTGGATGTTCCGCGCGTTTGGCCACCGCACCGTGTCTCTGCTGGACGGCGGGCTCCGCAACTGGCTGCGCCAGGGCCTCCCGCTGAGCTCGGGCAAGAGCCGCCCCGCGTCCGCCGAGTTCCGGGCCACACTGGACCCCACCTTTGTCAAGACCTACGAGGACATCAAGGAGAACCTGGAGTCCCGGCGCTTCCAGGTGGTGGACGCCCGAGCCGCCGGCCGCTTCCAGGGCACTGAGCCGGAGCCCCGAGACGGTAACGGGGCTGACCGCAGGGGCTGGGCAGGCCCCCGGGGAGAGTGATCAGGGGCCCCCTGGGCACTGCCCTTGCCTTTAAAGGGCCCGCATGGGGTGGGGGCCCAAGATTTGGTTTCTAGTCACTCACTCTGGGAGCCCCACTGACTTTATTCCTTAACTGGGGACAGTGATGCTTGGGGCAGGGACTCCCCCAGGTTTGTTGGGAACCCAGGGTGTATATATGTGAGAACCCAAACAGCTTCCTCAATTCTATGGATGTAGGGGTCACTGCAGAATAGGGGGGGCGGTGGGCAGGCTCAGTTTGGGAAAAGTCCCAAAGAAATGGGGCGTAGTCAGGTCTAGGCCATCTCTGAGGGTGATGGAGTTGGGGAAGAGGAGGCTGAGCTCCCTGCGCCCCCCCCCCCCCCACACACACACACACAGAGCTGGCAGAGGGCAGGAGAGGGGCCACTAAATAGAGGTTGCTGCCCAGTTTGGGGCAGAAACTGAATAGTTGGTGGCTGCTGGCCTGGGTTGGATCAGGGTCTTCTGGGTGGGGCTCCATTCTCCAGGCAAGGAGCCTGCAGGGGAGCCCATATGAAGCAGGGATGGGGTCTCCACAAAGCAGGTGAGTCAGCGGCCCCTTGGTGTGAGCTTGTTCATGACCCCTCAAGATGTCGGCTGTCACTGTAGAGCAGAGGAAATAGAGCCGGAGTTGGCGACCTGGCTGCAGGTGTCAGGAAGTGAACTCCTGGAGCCTGTAATTTAATGTCCGTGAGCGGCCAGTAACTCCCCAGCCATCTCTCTTGTGCCTGTGCCAGGGAGGGGGTGAGAAACTTGCCACTTGTTCTGGGGCGCTCTCCTAAATGGCACCCCCAGGCCCTCGGATGGGGAGGGGGGGCTTCCCTGAGCCGGCAGGCAGAGCAGCTTGGGCTCACCCTGTCCCAGTAGAGTTTGGGATGGCCCGAGCGCAAGGACATCCTTGTCCCCGGTGCAGCCTGGAGCTCACCCAGTACCTGGCACAGAGTCAAGGTCTGAGAGTATTAAATTCAGAAGGTCCCTGCCACGTACAGCCCTGCAGAGTAGCGTTGACAATAGGTCAAACCATATAAACTGCTGATATCCAACCACTGACAAGCCCATATAGGTTCAGCCTAAAAAGAATGCCATCGTGACACTGCTGGGTCCTTCAGCTCAGCCCCTGGGGAGTGGAGGTGGGGATCGGGGAGTGAAGCAACGTAGGACAGCGAGCCAGGGTCAGACCTGGCCGTGTGACAGAGCCCGGCCCCGGATTGCACTGGCAAGTCACCTCATCTCTGACCTGTAGTTTCTGCCTGTGTAAAGTGGTAGCAGAATGCGGAACTTCAAGGATGGGGTCAGGGTCAAATGTCACATGGCAGCTCCGTGTTGGCAGACAGGGATGCACGCAGGACATGGGAAGTGATATAGTTAACGTGCTTATCCGGTTGTGGCTCTTTACCGGGGTGCTTCGCACTCACCTCAGTCATGCTTGCTCGTCCGTGAAACGGGAGATGAGGTACACCTGGCAGGCCTGTTGTCAAGGGTGACCCCGGCTGATAGGTGCTGAAGGTGTCAGGAAGCAGCCCAGCCAGGAGCCTGTACCTTTAATGTCAGTGAGCAGCGCAGCGCTAAATCCGTGCAGAATTTCCCTGTCCCCATCATTCCCGTTCCACGGCCCGAGACCCTGGCCAAGTGCGCCCAGAATTGGCCACATGATCCCGCAGGGAGGGGAAGCCTACTTTGTTTGGTGGGGTTCAAGGCGCGAGGACAGCACTGCTCTGACAGGAGCCAACGGGGGTCGGCAGCTTGCTGTGCTTCTCTGGGTCCGAGTTCATCTCTACGTCATGTCTCTGACTGAGCCCAGTTTCTGAATCTGTTAGTGGAGATGCCTGGCCTGCTCCAACCTCACTAGGGGCCGCAGTGCCGGCTATCCATGTGGTCCTGAGAAGAGATAGTGGCTTGGGTCAGCAGCTCCCTGGAGCAGTGTCACTGCACTGCAGGGGGTAAACTGAGGCAGAAGCCACCCTAGAGTCCAAGTGGCTGAGATTCGAGCCAGTGCCCGTTACGGTTTATTTTGTTGCAAATCTCGGTGCTTGGTGTGAAAATGGGAATATTAGTAATACCTGCCTCACAGCGAGTGGGGAGAACAAAATGACCAGTGGTGACAGTGAGCCGTGTGTTGGGTGCCCTGGGGAAGTTTTTGGAGATGTGGGTGCAGGAATGACTCCCTAAAGTAATGGTCCTCTAGCCTTGCCCCTGTTCTTCCTGCTACAACCATGATCTTTTGGAAATGGGAGTCTGATCTCCCTCTGGCCGTCATGTCAGAGCTCGAAGACTTCAGCCAGGCCTGCTCAGATGTTCCCACCCGCCTCAGTTTCCCCTTGGGCCTCAGCCTCCCCACTGTCTGGGCTTTTGCCATGATGACCTTTAACCCCTCTAAGCACCATGCTATTCCCTGTCCCCTAGGAGCGCTTCTCCGTGGAATTCCTTCCGTCCCCACAGCCCAGACTCCTCTACCTGGCTGAATCCTAACCACCCTTCAGGGACTTCTCAGAGAAGCTTCTCTGACCACCCTCCCAGGCAGTGCTGCCTGATGGTTAGTGCACAAGCTCTGGGCCTCTGCCCCTACTAACTTGGGCAAGTTAGTCTGTGTGCTTCAGTCTCCTCCTCTACAAAAAGAGAGGGCAGTAATTTCTTTCCCACAGAGTTTGGGGGGGGATTAAAGGAGCTGAGGGGCTCAGAACAGTCCTAGGCACAAAGTGAGCGTTCAGTGATGCCAGCTGTTATCATCTTTTTTTTTTTTTTTAATTAATCCTCTCATGAAAAACCTGCACAACCACCACAGATAAAGTCACCGAAGAATCTTTACTCCTTCCTTTTGCCAGCGCCAACATTGGCCTTGGCAGTCCCCCTGACTTTCTTCATTCTGTTCTTGCCTTCCTTTCTCTGTTTTCTTGAGGTCTTCCTCCTCTCATAGAGGCCGTGTCTTGCAAGTCTGTGTTTGGGTTCGTTTTTCTCTGCGTCATCCAAGGTGTCATAAATCATGCTGAAGCCAGTGCTCTTGCCACCACCCAAGTGGGTTCTGAATCCAAACACAAAGATGACATCAGGTGTGGTCTATTATATTGTGGCTAGTTTTCCCCGGATTTCTGTCTTGGGTGCTGTTGCCTCCCCAGGGTGAAGGGCATCAATGACCACTTGCTTCCGCTGAAGTTGCCTGTTGGTCATGAACTTCCTGGTCCAGATAGTTACTGTGTCATTCATGATAACGGTTTATCGTCAAGCGCCCAGGGAGGAAAGAGCTGTTACCATCTTACCTGGTGTGCCCCACGCAGGAGGGCCTTTTGGCAACATTCATCATCCTTGTAGTTATTCAGCTATTGCTTGTCTGCTCTGCTGGATCAAAACTCCTTGGCTGCAGGTGCTCCCTGTCCTAGAGGCAGAGGTCTTGTTTAGCTCCATCGCCTCAGGGCACATAGTTGCCCCAGGGCGCACAGTCAGTCATCAGGAAACCTGGCGAGTGTGGCTCTGGAGGGCTCTGAGTCTTGGGTTCAGATTCCCGCCAGAAGTTTGCTGGAGGCACGACCTTGGGCAACACTGAGCCTCAGCATCTCCACCTGTGAAATGGGAATGCCCGTCAGTCGCACCTGGGTCTCCAGTTGTGTGGGCCACGCGAGGCGATGCCCATTGGGGAGTTAGCGCCATGGCTGCGTGGGGGCCATTCACACCGCCCTTGTATCTGTTCCCTCCTGCTGCAGGCATCGAGCCTGGCCACATCCCCGGCACCGTGAACATCCCCTTCACAGACTTCATGACCAAGGAGGGCCTGGAGAAGACGCCCGAGGAGATCCGCCGCATGTTCCAGGACAAGAAGGTGGACCTGTCCCAGCCTCTGGTGGCCACGTGTGGCTCCGGCGTCACAGCCTGCCATGTGGCATTGGGGGCCTACCTCTGCGGCAAGCCCGACGTGGCCATCTACGACGGCTCCTGGGTGGAGTGGTACATGCGGGCCCAGCCCGAGGAGGTCATCTCCGAGGGCCGGGGGAAGACCCGCTGAGATGGGCGGGATGTGACACAGGAAGCTCCGGTGACGCCGGCCACCAGCTGTGCCCAGCCTGCTTGTTCTCAAGCTGTTTTCACCAGAAGAGCATTTCTTCTTCCAACTCAGGCGGCACAGGGGGTGACATCCCAGAGGCCAGGAGTTCTTTTGACTTGTGGGCTCCCAGGAGAGACGGTGGAGGAGGTGGTGGTGGGCACGGGGGAAGGGGAGCCACCCACATGGTACTGAGCTGGGCCCCACCTCCCTTCTGTTTCACTTTTAAGGAAATAAAACAGCCAAGTGCTAAGTGCTTCTAACTCCGGGGCTGCCTCAGTTTCCCAAGGAGCAAGGTTGCCAGCACACCCAGCAGAGGGAGCTCCATGGAGCCCGAGGGTCTTGTGAACCTGTCCCTGCCCCTGAGAGGTGCTGGGGCCAAGAGTCCTTTCACCCCTGTAGCCAAATGCCCCCAACAAACCGTTCTCCACCCCCTAATGCTGGGGCCCTCCCTTCTGGCTCCTGCGCTATTTAAGGTGAATCCCACCGTGAGATGTCTGAGGTCTCACTCAGAGCCCCAAGGCTGAGCAGTGCCTCTCATTTCCTGATAGAGAGGGGTCCAGAGGTGGCCAGGAGGCTGCACCGGCTCAGGAGGCCCGCCCCGGCCCCTCGGGATGCACTGGAGAATGGCTGAGTTTGACTAAATTGGAGGAGAATCCAATTTTAGACTCTGGGGGTCCACACTTGGAGGCTAGTCTCTGGAGCTGCCAGGGGGTGGGCAGACCTGGGGTCCATCCTTTCTGCCCACGGTGAACCTCGTCCCCAAAGCTTCCCCAGGGGAGCCACTCTGTCCTCCTCCCTCTGTCTGTCTTCTGTGCCCAGGAGGACAGAGGGGTTTGAGAAAGTCCCAGAACCTGGGTCACCCTCCCCACCTACAAGCCCCCGAGGCACGTCAGTAGCAAAGGGCCAGTGTCAGCCAGGATCGGGGGGAACCCTAGAAGGAGGGAAAAAAACACCAATGGGCAGTGACTTTCCCAAGGAGTCCCAACCTCGCTGAGCCTCAGCTTCTGTGAGATGGGAATACGTGCTTCAGAAGAAGGGATTTCAGACAAGGAGTCCCATCCTTCCAGCTCAGGCTGCTCAGCCTCCGCTCTTATGACATTTGGACAAGGTTTGTCTGCAAACACATGTGAGGCTCTGATCTGGCTTCTGTCTCCGCTACCCCATGCAGAACTGCCCGACTGTGGACACATTTCTGAGCCTTGATTTCTTCATCTTTAAAATGGGAGTAATAGAACCTTCTTAGAGCAACATGGGAATTGAATGAAAGAGCCATAAAACTGGTTCCAGGCACAGAGTAAACATGAACAGTTCTTAGTTTTTAAAAGACGTTTACTTATTCAGCATGTTGAGTGCCTCCTAGACTCTGGCACTGGGGGAGAGGAAGAGCAAGGAATGCAAGAACTGTGTTCCTGCCTGGAACAGCTTCCCAGCCAGGGAGGAAAACAGGCCCATCTTGTCATATTTCCAGAGAGAAGGGGGAATGACCTCTTTCACAAGTCAGAAGGCAAGCTCAGAGAGGCTGAGTGATTTGCCTAAGGGCACACAGCTTGCTCAAGAGAGGAATTTCACTGGTTAAAATTCTCAGGTAGGAGCCTCTCCAATGGGCCTTGCCTGCAGTGGTTTTCCAGATCTCAAGATCAGGGAGGAACGGAGTGTAACTCGGGGTTTGGAAACACGCGTGACACGCTCATGTATGATGGCCAAGGGTCTCCCCAGCTCCACGGGGAGACACCTTGAGATCTGGGATACAAGCAAGGGAGTTTGGTTAGGTCCTTCCTACCCCCCCCCCCCCCCACACACACACACACACACAAGGTGCCCAGGCTGAGCCAGGGCATTTTCCTCCTGGAAGGTCCTCAATAGGTGTGGACAGGTTCAGAGGAGCAAAGCCCAGGAGGTACGAGAAAGGAGGTGGAGCCGTGCCTTCCAGGCCTCTCAGAACTTGGGTTTAACTTGACGGAGCCGGGGCCCTGAGCTCCCCCTGCCCCTGGCAAGCCTGAACTACCGGAATAATGAGCCACTCACTGCGGAGGCCCGGCCTCCCATCTACCCAGTGCACCCCGTCTACCCAGTGCACCCCGTCTACCCAGTGCACCCCGCTACCCAGTGCACCCCGTCTACCCAGTGCACCCCGCTACCCAGTGCACCCCGTCTACCCAGTGCACCCCGCTACCCAGTGCACCCCGTCTACCCAGTGCACCCCGTCTACTCAGTGCACCCCGCTACCCAGTGTACCCTGCTACCCAGTGCACCCCATCTACCCAGTGCACCCCGCTACCCAGTGCACCGCAGGCAGGAACTTGCAACACCAGATAACAGGAATGATGAAATTTTTGTCCACCGGGCAAATATTTGCTGAGCACCCGCTCTGTGTCGGACCGTTGGAAGTTTCCCAACCTCGTCTAACCAGGTGTGCTGGAATACGGCCATTCCCTGGAGCGTTCCCTTGAGGGGTCACGGCCTGAGGAAGCCCCCCGACACACACACACTGGCATCCACTCTGCACAAGGCCCCAAGTCTGCCTCCTAGACCCTTCCGGTGGGGGCCTCGGTCGTCTCCTCTGAAACACGGGAGCACACTCAGCCCTGCCGGGCACAGGGTGGGTCTGATGTCACAGAGGGTCAAGCTGAAAACGATGTGAGGGGCCACTCCTACTGGGCTCCCCCAGCTATGGAAGCAGCGCGAGCTTCATCCTTACCTCCTGGCGAGGGGGTCATCGGGAGGAGAGGAAGTTTTCAGGGTAACTGACACTTTATCATTTTAGGCACTGGAATCTGTAACGTGTTAATGAGGCTGTGAGGGCGCGGAACACGGTACCCAGAAGCCGCCGGACTCCACGACTTTGTCTCACCACTTTATGCACAGTGATGCCTTCGGGGACTGTTCGCCCTGAACCAAATGGCTCCGACTCATGTGCCTTCCCAGGGCTCGCGTCCTTGCAACTGTCTCAGCTCAGCCCCGCTGACGCCCCCGGAGTCTCCACCTGCTCCTAGGTGGGCCCACCCTCTCTGGACAATGCCACCCATCCCAGTGGCTTAACCACTGTCTTGAGCTGGGGACTGGAGTCTGGGCCTGCAGCCTCTGGCTGGACTCAGATCCCTGTGTCCACTGCCTGCTCCTCAGCCCACGTTCCCTGGCTGCGTGCACGGCCACCACTCAGGGTCACCTGTGCCCAGACCTGGCAGCTCCCTAAGACTCCCTCCTCCCTCGCCCCCTCCCTACCCGACCCCTCCACCCCAGCCTTGTCCACAGCCAGTCAGCACTAACATCTCTGGATTTCCACCTCTGTTCCCACTGCCTTGGTCCGGGTCCCCTGCCCATCCTGCCCAAGACACTGACAGACACAGCCTGTCCCACCCCTTAATTTCAGTCCACCCTGAAGGACAGGCCTCGAGCCAGGATCTGTGGCAATGGAGGATGAAGGCAGACCCTTGGGGAATCGGCCTGGTGAGGAGTGGCTGACAGACTGTGACAGGCGCAGTGAGGAGTGTCTGAGACACACCGCACAGAACAGGAGAGGGGGAGCCGGTGGCTCTGGGTCTCAGAGGCCCCTCTGCCCAGGGCTGACAGCCCCTTGAGGAATTCCTGGACTGTGACGCCTCGCTCCATGCGAAGACACAGAAGGGGGATAGGGTTCAAAGCACAGCCCCTGGAGACATCGGGCCCTCCTGCTCCCCGGCTCTAGGTCTGTGCAGGTGCCTCGACTTCCTCATCTGTGACATGGGGACAATCCAGTACCTGCCTCCTAGAATCAGATTCACACAAAGCACTGAGTACAGAGCCCGGCACGGTAACAATGAATTGTTACTGTGACGAATGTCCTGTCCTCCCACTCCTGTCCCCTGTGCCGGCCCAAATGCCCTCGTGGGTAACGTCTTATTCATGGTTCTCCTCCTGGCCTCAGCTGAGGGACATATTAATAGTAACAGATTATAACCCACAGAATCCAATAGTCCATTCTGATATAAATGAATGAATGAATGAATGAATAAGAAGGAAATATCTCCCTTAGAATAGAACGCCACCTAATAAATGCAGATGTTGGATGTTGGAAATAGAAAAATCACAATTTGGCAATCTGCATAGTCATAATTTTTATAGCAAGAATCATCAACGAATACTAAAATTATTGAGATAAATAAGTCTGATGGAAAACAGGATGTTTTTGCAACTTTTCTCTAAGCCTGAAATTACTTCAAAACAAAAACGCTATTTTTCAACACAGGTTTTTCTGACTCAGTTTCAGCCAGGGCTGCAAACTGCACCCACGTTCTAAAACAAGGTGCCGGGCCATTGGAAGTAGTTCTTTCAGCCACGGTGGTGAAGATCTAGTTTAGAAACTTAGACCACACACCTCCTGCCCACGGCAGAGACGTGAGCGAGGCCAGCAGGAGCAGCTGGGTGGCGGACTAGGCTTTCCTAGAAGCAGGGTTGGGTGCTGTGGCACTTTACCTCCCCTGCCTTGTGGGGGGCGGGGGGGGGAGGGGATGCCTCCCTCCTCTGCAGACTGAGTGAGAGTGTTAGGGGCAAAAATAGAATATTGGGGACTAGCTATGGTTATGGGAAATATTAAAGAAAGGACATTCTGACCTGGCTGGGAGTTGTACACCCCCGGGACCTGGGAGTCAGCCTTGGAATGTGGTCCATTCTCATCCAAAAACTGCCTATTATCATGGAAGGATGAACAACCTTGTTTCCCAAACAATGGAGTCCACCAGCCTCCTATTTCCCCATGCCTGCAATCCCTACTTCTCCATGTAATCCTTGTCCTACCCAATCTCAGTAGCTGGTTTATGGGGGGCCGCAGAGCAGATGTTTGTGGGTGACCTGCTGCTCTCCCATGCTGCCAGCAGTATTGGGATAAATGTTCATATCTGATTCAACCCTGTCTCTGCTTAACTGGCAGCACGGACCCAGCGATTGTCCGGTTATAAGAGGGGTTTCAAGCAGGCCGTTTGCGGAGCTAGACCTGTGTGTCCTGGATTCTGGGGCCCCATGGGCTGGGAAAGAGATCATCCACAAAAATGCTTGGTGCAGACTCTCTGGCAGCAGGGTGGGGGTTCAAGAGGCCCAGGGGGACGGGTAGTAGAATCCTGGTTCTGTGTGATTCCTGTTTCAAGCTGTGGGATGACAGCGGCGGAGCCAGAGGGACGCTTGCATGGAATAGTGGGGTCCCTGGAGGAGGCTGGTTAGAGCTATTATCATTCCCAACTTAGAAATGAAGTTCAGAGAGGTGAAGTGACGCTCCCAAGCCGCCCAG